CTTCAGGCAATAAATATAACTAAAAGCCAAAAGAGCTGGCTTAAGTAGTAGAGCACATGGCTAACAAGCACAAGCCCTAAGTCCAAACTCTAGTACAGACAAGAATACATGAAACATTTTATGGTCAGTAACTGCTAACAGCTTGCTTTTCATGGTCTAATATTCTAAATGTTCCATCCATATTTAATGTCTTTTTCATCTCTCCATGGTGTTTGGTAGTCATATTCAATATTGTAACCTCTACCTTATGTATAGGCACGCATAATCCTGTTCAATAAATACAGAGCACCAGCAGGTGAATATATTTTGTTTCTTTTCATAAGATATCCATTTGCCTAACACTGATAATTCCATTGGCTATGCCATTTTTGCATTCCCAGTAGCGTCATCTTTTAATTGTATTAGCTTAAATTAGTCATATTTATAACTTACCTTCCTAATTCCTCATCATTTCCCCCTACATGAGTCCTTTCCATCTGTCTCAGAAACATGGCAGCTCCCTGGGGACCCATGCTTGACACTTCTCTTGATCTCTGAGCCTTCGATTAAAACCACTGAGTGAAAGGTCTCCCTCATCCTCGTAGTCTACCTAGCATTCTTCTTTCCCAGCTCCAGGTTTTGTAGACATGGTTGCTGGATTTGTATCTTTACTCGGCACATCAGAAGTATTTTAACCTCAATATATGTTGGTACCTGTTTAATTTCTTTCTTTGAAGCCTTTATTACCATGTTACTTTAGTACACAAGGCTTTCTTCATGCCTCTGTCTTAACTATTACCCGCACTCTCCCCAATCAGTGTTATTTTGGAGGTTTACTTTTACTCATGCCATCTAAGATAAAATGTTTCTGTCATCTATAGTCATAAACATGTACAGATATAAATGCAAGAACTCAAAAGCATATACATGTATATTCAGATGTCTAAATACCGTGAGAACAGGAAAATTTCCCCTAGTACTGAGTAAATAAATGCCTGAGTGGTAGGAAATATCCACATTATTTACGGAATAAAAGATAATATGCAAAATTAATGTGTCAATAATGCCTTTTTTTGGAGATTTGATTTAACTTTGTATCAAAGTAACCCATGTCAATGTTAAATATTTTCCTTGGCCTTATATGAAATGTGAATTCATCAGTTCATTTTCCAAGTATCAACAAAGCAAATATTTTTTTTCCTTTGTTGTGTTTGTTTTTCTGGATAACCTGCTATGTGCTGCTGTACTTCGATCAGTTATATTTGCAGTCGCTACATCTCCCTACCTTCTATCTCTTCTTCCCTACATCTTGTGTATCCCTGTTTTATTCCTTCCCTTTTAAAAAAACAAAAACAAAAAACAAAGTTATGAGATGTGTTGCAGAGGGAGAGAGCTCTTTTTAGGCTGTGTACCTACAGTATGACTTCGTTTTCATCATAGAGTTGAAACATCTGAAAATAACATGTTATCTGTATTTGGTAATTTTCTTTCAGTAAAAAATGTGAAATTTAGGCTGAAAAAGTGGCTCAGTGGTAGAGTGCTTGCCTCACATGCATGAAACCCTGGGTTCGATTCCTTAGCACCACATAAACAGAAAAAACTGGGAGTGGTGCTGTGGCTCAAGTAGTAGAGTGCTAGCCTTGAGCTGAAGAGCTGAGGGACAGCACCCAGGCCCAGAGTTCAAGCCTCACAACTGACCAAGAAAAAAAAAAGTGAAATTTGATGTTAGGAAAACTTCTCATCACAAAGTATTTATTGTTGTTGTTGATTTTCTCCCTCTCTGGGATTTTTTTTTACTTATTACTACACCAGGGCTAGTGAATTTTTTTTTCTGCTGTGGGTCATTTGATATTTATATTATCATTCAAGGTCCATACAAAATTATCAATATAGGCAAATAGCCCATGGGCATCCAACAAGAAGCATATATTTCTGCCCAGACATGTATCAAATGATTTTTATAGTATGATGTGACTTGATAGTGCAGAGTAGTGAGAAGGCTCCGCATCTGTGCTCTGCAGTATGATGATGAAGATCCTACTTGTGTTTGTATGATAATGAGTAAAAGCATGCAAACAGAGCCCTTGGGTTTGGAACTCTGTTTCTGAAAAAGTGGTAAGTTTTCTCCATCAGGATTTCCTGTTCTCTATTTCTAAAAATCTATGTGGTTTCAAGAATTCCTAAAACTGGTTCTCACCACTGAGTATGCATGTGAATAGCCTGGAGGAAATAACTAAAATTGCTAGGTCCAAGTTCCAAAAGTTCTGATTCATTATATATACATATGTGTGTGTATGCATGTATGTATATATACAAGAATCCACCCATGTATATGTATATACATATACATACGTATATGTGTATATATTTGTGTGTGTGTGTGTGTGTGTGTGTGTGTGTGTATGGATAGACAGACAGACAGTTAATACTGATACAAGTTCAGGTGTCAAGTTTTGAAAAAGATTGCTCTAGACCAATTCTCTAATTGTTCTATGTTGTATCTTTTTATTTATATAAATTGTCTTTAAGTACTTTTACAAAAGGGTTTCAATTCAACATGTTAATTTATTAGTATAATTTATCTTTTTCAATATGACCCATGCCTCCTCATTATTTTAGGAGGGTAAAATATTGGGGATTGGGCAAACACTCTACCACTTGAACCGTGGCTCCAGCCCCTTTCGGTATGGGTTATATTCAAGGTAGGATCTCTCTCATGTGTGCAGACCAGTCTGAGCTACCACCATTTGTTGGCACAAAGTCTTGACTCAAACTTGTTTTTGCCTAGCCTGGCCTCAAATCATGATCCTGAGATCTCTGCATCCCATTTACCTAGGATTACTGACTGAAGTCATGATTGAGTTCTAGATTGCCTGGCTTTTTCATGTGAGAAGCTTTTCTCAAATGTACATACATCTTCACTGTGTTTTGATACTTAAGACTAAAGACATTCAAAAACAAACTGTTAATTCTTTGTCAACTGAAGACTGATCAGGTGATCATATTTCACATGGTAGTACTTAGTTAACATATGTTAAAGTGTTTTTTTCTTGTCTCCTACCTGGAGACAATGCTAGGATCCCATAAGTAGCAAATGGATATTTGCTTAGTGTCTTTGATTCTGGTAGGTGCCTTACTTTTGTTGTTAGCCATTCCTAGTATTTTGTAGCCTATAATTCTACTGGTCAAGGTGAGTTAACAGTTCTTTTGTCAGAACAGAGTGGATGAATTTCTTGGCCATAGCACTTATTTCTATTCTTTCTTTTTGTTATTGAGACACAGGTAGAAGGATGCCAGTCAGTCTTGTATTTAACCGGTAGGATTTATCAAAATTGATATGACAGGCTATCTCAGTTTGGCTTTGTGTACTAGATAATATGTTTCTAGAATGTAAGCTTTTAAGAATTTAAATAGTGTCATAAGTTAGTTTTTTTTCCAGATTTTTGTGTGTGTGTGAGAGAGAGAGAGAGAGAGAGAGAGAAATTTCTTTTTCTTTGTTCTTTGTTTTTTGACGGTCTGACTGTATTGCCCAGGATGACCTCGAACTTGCAATCCTGTCTCATCCTTCCAAGAGCAGCAGACTAAAAAAGAAGTTGGGATTAAGTAGCAAAGTCCATATTAAGATGTCTTTTAGTTTAATTCTCCCCATCCCTCAAGGGTTCTCCTGATGTTTTATCATGCAGCTGGTTTAATTAAAGCCAGTGTGAAGGAAACGTTAAAAGGTCCCTGGAGCACTGCTAGAGGTGGATTCATTCAGAATATTCTAGGAATTTTTCCATAATTGTCCCACATAGGCCTATTTGCATAGAATACTTATGACTCCTGACATTTCTGCAGAGCTTGAACATTCTTCCCAAAATATTGCCAGTTACTCTTAGGCACTACCTTCTTCCTTTGCCTCTGACTGTTTCTGCTCGTATGAATCCATCCAGTATTGGTGAATTTCTGTGCTTTGAAAAATTCAGAGAAGTTGAAGAGTTTACCCTATGGATTTACTCCAAACTAAAAAATGCCTATTGTGCTCAGCACTTTCTGTTATTTGAACCTTTTGACCTTGCTGGATGATTCAAAGCAGTCATTTTAAGACCTGGTGTCACAATAAAATTATCTCAAGAGTTTTTAAAGTACACAGATGTTCTGGCTGTGTTCCAACCAGTTAAATCAGACTTGTAGAAACTGATAATAACTTTAAATGACCTCTGGTGAATTCATCATGTAACTAAAGGCTGAAACATGTATAAAACAGAAGAAATATAACAGACCCACCGGGGGTCAGAAATGGGTTTGGTTGTCTCCCATATTTTGGGTGCTGGATTCCAGATCCTCTTAAGATGCTTTTACTTAATTTTGCCTTTTAAGTACTACTAGTCAACCAACAAGCTAATATCACAGTGTTCCTAAGTTGCTACTCCAAAGCCCCAGTAGCTAGTTTAATATAATTTCAGCATATTTTAAAAAGGAACAGATGTACCATGCAGAATATGATATACCTACCTCTTCTCTTTCCCTCAGTACAAATGTACTTTCCTTTGTCTCCTCCATGACTTTAGCACAATGAGAACAGTAATTATTTCTTATATTTTCAAATCACCTTTTTTATTTACCTTCCACTGTCCTCAAGGCCTGGTGAGTATTTTTTTAACACCTATCCATAAACTTTATATCTTGTTTCCCCCAATTTTTGTGGGCAGCCTGAAACAAAATTTTACTACCCAATCTGAAAACCACACTAAAATCACAAAAGATTGGAGCATGACTGAGGTGGCAGAGTGCTTGGTAAGGTGCTAGGCCTTGAGATTCAGCCCCAGTAGCAACTCTAATGGTATATTTACATATTCATATTGAGTTTCAAGCTATTTACATTTTCAAGTGCTATATTTATGTTTTCATTTCATATTATAAGCATAAGTTAATTCTGCTTATTTAGAATTTGCATTAGTATCTGACTAATCAATGTTATAGTTTAGAATGGTTGATAGATAATGTATTCAAGCCCATGTCTTACAAATGGTCATTTTCAGTTTCTTGGCAGTACTGAAGTGGAGCAGCCAAAAGGAACAGAAGTTGTGAGAGATGCTGTAAGGAAATTAAAGGTAAGAAAAGCCCTTCAAATAAATGGTGTGAAATGGTGATGGAAAAAAAAAACTAAAATAAAACTAAAGCTTGTGGATAGTATAGCTTTCTCCTGTTAAAAATGGACAAATGAATAAATATCATCAGATCAAGAAAACATTTTAGTAATAACTATGCACATGAAATTGTTTTTTGAATATCATGCTATATATATATTTTTTTGGGTCCGGTCATAGGGCCTGAACTCTGGGCCTGGGTACTGCCCCTCAGCTCTTCAGCTCAAGGGTAGAGCTCTACCGCTTGAGTCACAGCGCCACTTCCGGCTTTTTTCTTTTTTCTTATGTGGTGCTGAGGAATCGAACCCAGGGCCTCATGCATGCAAGGCAAGTGCTCTACTACTGAGCCACCTTCCCAGCCCCTTGCTATATTCTCAATGGTATGGTGTCTTCTAATTACTAAAAATAAACTGGATGGCAGCAATTCCTAAGTGTTGACATTCAGTAGCTTGCCTTTAGTTTTCTTAAGTGGACTTGTATCCTTACTTCTTCAATAGTTAGAATAGCATATTCAATAGTTGAAAATAGGGAATTAGAGTTGAGCTCAAAGAAAAATTTTCATAGTGACTGTATATATCAAAGCTGTCCTAATAGGCAATCTAAGAGGAAGTGGCCATTTCCAGCGAGAGCTGGTGATATCAACAAAATAAAAAAACCTCTTATTTTTGTTGTTGTCTCTCAAATATCAAAAGATTACTGCACTAATGAGAATGCATAAAGCAATTATATGATTATATGTGCCTATTTTTTATCATTTTACTACTTTTTTGCAGTCTTCTCTGACCTCAGAGTGCTCAGACTACAATACAAAGTATTTCTTTTTCTTTTTTATTGGTTGTGGGGCCTGAATTCTGGGCCTGGGCACTGTCCCTCATCTCTTTAGCTCAAGGCTAACACTCTACCACTTGAGCCACTGAGCCACTTCTAGATTTTTCTGCTTATGTGGTGCTGAGGAATCGAATCCAGGGCCTCATGCATGCAAGGCAAGCACTCTACCACTGAGCCAACTTCCCAACCCCAAGGTATTTTTTTAATTATTTAATTTCATTTGATTGTAAAGGTAATATACAGAAGGGTTACAGTTACATAAGTAAGGTAATGAATACATTTATTTTCAAACATTTTTACCACACATTAGTTTTCTCTCACTTTCCCTTCCCCCACATTCTTTCTCTCCCAAGTTGTAAAGTTCATTTCCAACATAATGTCTTGTGAGTATCACTGTTGCATTGGTTCACCCTTTGTCTTTTGTCTCAACATTTTATTATCCCCCTTCTCTTCCCCAAATCCAATAAACATATATACTAGACACAGGACATCAAAATAAACTACCATGACAACAGGGGATAAACCAAAGGGGGAGGAATGAAAGAAAAAAGAAATGACTTCACATAGTACATCATATTCCCCAAAACAACAACAAAAATAAAAAATGTCTTGTTTCCATATGTTTGAGTTCATTTTGACAAAGTATTCTTAAAAAGTTTATCAGACACCTTGTAAATTTTGTCATGTGTAGAAATGACCAGCAGGTGGTACTATGGCTCTATGAATAAAAACATATTTCTTTACCAAATGTACATAACCCCATTTAAGTGCTTGTTTTTCTCAAGTACATGTATTGTGACAATGTATTAAAAATCTACTATAACTTAGCATTTTTCTTTATCTGTAAGTTAACAGTCTATTTATACTTATATTCAAATATATTTGACACTAAGGTTTCAAAACTTATGCATGAGACAAGGTAGTGGAAAACCTAAAATATGTTCAAGTAATTTAACTTTTGTTTTGTATTTCATGATGCATGGTTAAATTTCAAGAAAAAAATTTCAACCTTAGTTTTTGTTAACTTTTTTTCTATTATTTTATGGGGAATTTGTAGTTTAGCTACTTTTCTTAAATGTAAACATTTTTGTTAAATTTGGAGTTTTTACTTTCACATTCAGCTTTTGTCACAGAATGTTCTAGTTCTTTCTTTGTACATATTCAAAACTGTTTTTTATTTTTTTGTACACTTCAGTTGTACAAAGGAATTATTTCATAACCATGCTCAACAATTACTATTTCTTAATTACATGTTAGTATCTTAAAATTTATGATTTAGAAACCTCTTATATATGAGCAATGCTATTATTGTAGTGAATTTCACTTTCAACAATGATTTCTCTATGTTTATTAATACGACTAGTACAGGCATTACTCAAATGTAAAATATATAAATGAGTTTTTGTAACATTTGTATATGACAAAGTATTGGAATATGGCTTCACACCTTGTTAATTTTCCTGCAAGGTCAGAATAGGGCAGAATATTTGGGCCCTAAGTGTGGAGGAAGCATTGTTAGTCCCGTGGAGTTCTAGTGAAATGCCATTGAATCCTAGGGCTAACTTGAGGAAACACGGGCTCTGGGAATCACTGTCAAGTCCTATTAGGGTCAGCCCGGGAGTTTCTTTTTTCAGCATCACCCAATGTGACATAACTGTTTTGTCTTCACAATCTGTTAATTAATAAAGTATTTAGAGATGAATTGTAATGTATTCAAACATAGCTGATTCTACCACATAAGTATTTTTTTTCTTTTTTCTTTTTGCGTATGTGGTGCTGAGGAATCGAACCCAGGGCCTCAGGCATGCAAGGCAAGCGCTCTACCACTGAGCCAACTTCCCAGCCTCTACCACATAAGTATTAAGAATAACTTCACAATTTAATTCTAAGAAACAAAATGAGGAAAAGTAGCACAGAATACCAGATCCTAAGTAATAAATCAGTTTTCTTGTCAAATAATGTATGTACTATAGTTAGATTTTACTTAAAAACTTTTGAAGAGAATAGATGAATTGTGTAAGCTTGACACTAAAACTCAGTGCTCTCTTTAAACTGTTAGCAGTTCTGTTAAGCAATGATACATATTTAGCTAATAAGTAATCTTTCATACCTTTCAATCATCCCATGATGCCAAAAGTTTGCTTTGGTTTGCTGTATCTATATACAGATTGCCTGTGCTTCACTGTCTTTGAAATTTTTATTGAATTATTGCATTCAAGTTTAAATAGTTAGATCATACTATCTAAATTTACCAAGGAAAGAATTCACTAAAACAATAGTGAAAAGAAATCTGCATGAAGACTTTAGTCCTTTATAAGGACTAAAAAATTGAAAAGAGGATATTATAAAAGATAGGCTGATGGATTGATTGGCCTGTTTGTTATCCAATGTTTTCCCATGCTTCTATATTAGCAGTAATTTAGATTCGCACACAAGTAAGTAGTTTATATGTAGGAAAATGGATGGATATTGAGCAATGTGCAGGCAGTACCAACAGTAAATTTCAGTTTTAAGAGAAAGAAAGAGAATAGGTGGGGCTTGGAGAGATGGAGGACAATGCTGAAGGGATGTCATTGATCAAAATGCATTGGACTCACAAACTGACATATTGAATTGAAACTTGTTGTGCAACGATTACAGAAAATACAAAAAGGAGTTATAAACAAAGTTGGTGAGGATAGAAAAATGTTCAAAATATAAATTGGATAAATATAACCTTAGGCACAAGAGTTTTGTGGCATATATTCAGCAACCAAGTTCAATAACCAGTGTAAACTGTGAAATTCATGTAATCACAACTGAGTATTTTACTTTTTAGATACAAAATGTGCGGCATGCAGAACAAAAGTGTAGTGGAGTTCTTAGTTACTACAAACCATTTCATGATTAAAGTGCATTAACTTCTCTGGGACATTTTTTTTTTCCTAACTTTGAAATGGCAGACTGGACTGAGCAATCTCTGAAGCATCTGAGTAGTTATTTTGTCTTGGTGGGTAGCAGAAAGGATTCAAGGACTTTTCATCAGGTGTTCTGTGCTTTCTGTTATTCTCATTTTCCTCTTTTCTCCATCTTGTCTTTCTTTTCTTACTTTCTTCTTAACTCCTTCGTGTGTGTGTGTGTGTGTGTGTGTGTGTGTGTGTGTGTGTGTGTGTGTGTGTGCGTGTATCTGTCTGTCTTTTCTGTCTGTCTGTATCTGTGTCTGTATCTCTGTGTCTGTTTCTAACATTATTGCTCATTATTTCCTTGCTTCATTTTTCCTTCTCAAAAAGATAGCACTACTGTAACTGGTTGTGTTGAGTAGGGGCTGGGGAGGTACGGGGTGAGACTTTTGATAGAAGATTCAGAGGAATGGTTGCTTATGTTCAGATGTAGAAGCCTTAGAAATCACCGAATGTTCTTGTGTCTATGTAAAAAAGAAGTGCCAAGGAAACAGGATTAGCTGGTTCTGCATCTACTCAATATCATGGGATTTGATTTGCTCAGATGCCTTCACATAGGTGCAGAGCCACTGACTAACTTTCTAGACCTTTCAAGGTGAAAGCCTCTAAATTATTTAATTTTGCTAATTCAAGAAAGATGTTAAGGAGGGAAGAAGTCAATACACATTCTTTGAGAGATGGCCGGAATAATCTTTGGCTTTCCTGAAAGCAAAACATGTTTCTTGCAGTAAGAGACAAGAAAGGAAATACCTGGCACACGTTGGTTGAATTATGTGCAAAGTATATGACTGCAGGAGACAAAAGAAGGGGGAAAAAGCTGTACATTCATAAAGTATGAAAGACAGCAAGCTGAAAAGTTACACGACTTGAAATAGAATAAAACAAATGGCACCCCCAGGGAAATGAAAGCAGACAGCTCAAGGCATTCATGTGTATATTAATTACGTTACTTTCCATGGCAATGCAAAGCCATGAAAAGAGCAAAGGCCTTTAACCACTCCAGGACTGAGCTACACCATGTGTCTTCACATCTGCCCTCTATTAGAGCAGGATGCACAATGCAAATAAATATAACACACAAGAGGACTGAAGCCCCGCCTCGGCTTACATCTGAGCTATTTTGAGTCAAGTTAAGATGATTTTCCATATGCTGAAAAATTTATTCTAGAAAATAACTTTTTGAAGCTTTAGAAAAGAGATGAGAAATCCTACTAAAAAAAAAGAATACTTTTTATCCTTTATTCTTAAAAAGTAAAGTGTGGAAGGGAGGTGAATAGAAAAGTAGGGAGATATTGGAGTATCCAGATAAAATTAGCACACACAGTAGACTTAAATTTTTAGGTAATTAATGCCTAATTCTTTCCTCATTTTTTTATTTTTATCAGTTAGTATCAGAATCAAGGGAGTTCCATTTTGACATGTCCATAAGAGCATAGATTATACCTGGATCAGACTTTCCCCCTCTGTCATTTTAATGAGTAACTTTTTAAAAACAAAAGCAAATCCCAAGCATTGCTTTGGACATATTTACACTAAATAGCACATATGTGTTATGTTTCTGTGCTTATGTGTTTGTGTATTTTTGTTCCAAAAAGCTTAAAATATATTTATTGTTTAATATTCAAATTTAATTGAGATTCTATACATTTCCTTTCCTTTCTAAATTTTAGTTATACTTGGGTTTGAACCAATGCCCAGCTGGGGCTCTATCATTTGAGCTACATCTCCAGTTCTGTTTATTTTTCTAAAAATTATCTTGGAAGAATATCATTACCTTTTCTGCTTTGGCTTTGACTCTGGTTTCTCTGTACCTCAGTTTCCTGAGTGGCTAGGAGTACAGAGATGGGTCAGTGACTGATATTTCTACCATAAAATTTGGCATAACTGGGAGAGAAGCAGAAAGTTCACCTACTAAGTACCTGAACACTCCTGTGTTTCCTTTTTTATTTTCTCAGAGAACCTAACAGACATTTAGCACACTGTAATCCAAATATAAAGCTACATTTAATACTACTCTGAAAGTACTGAAAGTTGTTTATGATCTCATGATGTTATGTTTGTAATTCTACATTGTCTCTGGATCTACACTGAAGAGTTTTAGTTAGTATAATTATTTCAATTGTTAGCTTTGGTTTAAATCAGGTAGCCTTTTTTAAAAATTATTTGAATGGGCAAGACAGTGGATTAAAATAGGAAAATACCTCTGGATGTACAAAGAGGGCACATCCAGAAGCTGGTGAATGGTAAGTTCTCTATATTAAAAACAAAATTCCACAGGAAAAAAATTGATGCACTTCTAAAAGTATGCATTTTGTGAAACTTGCAGGTTTTTTGGGAAATTTGAAAATGGATTCAATTTTTCAAATATTATGAAAAAGTTCACTAAAGTTCATGTTTTATAAATGTTATTGAAAATAAATCTGAATTATATTGGTAAATTGATATGATCTGTAACTATTTTGAGAATATTTTCCCAAAACTTTACAAGGAGCAATATTTCATTTATCACTCACATTGAGTAGAAACATAAAATGTGTACATGTATTTATTAACCACGAGAACAGAATGCTAGTTTTGTTAATAATTTTTCATTTGTAGTTTGCAAGACACATCAAGAAATCTGAAGGCCAGAAAATCCCCAAGGTTGAACTGCAAATATCAATTTATGGAGTAAAGATTCTAGAACCTAAAACAAAGGTAAGGCTGATTTTTGCATGTCAGAGCACTTTAAGCTTAAATTAACTGTTTGCATACCATTTCCAACAACACCAGCATCATTTGAAATAGCAAGCTCCAATCTAGGCCTACTGAATGTCAAATCTACAATTTACAAAGAAAGAAACCTGGTGACTTCCGTACGGCTTAACATTTGCATACATCTGGTATAGTATACTGTGACAGTTGTACACAGCAGGCTTCATTTTCAAGTTGTAGTCCATGGGAAAGCTGCATTAAAAATGTCCTGAGGTGGGGCGGGGGCGGGGGGGAGGCTGGGAAGGGATGAGAAGGGTAAACAAAGGAGGAGGCTGAAGTGCTTGATAAGAAATCTACTCATTATCTTGCCCATGTAATTGTAACCCCTCTGTACAGTATGTTCACAATAAAAAAAATGTCCTGAGGCTATTGGAAAAATGAGTTTGAAAGCCTCGGTATGTCTACAGAATCATAATTTGGGAACTTTTGCATTTACAGTTAGGGTAAGGACAGTGGAGTATGACGTGGGTACAGCCATGGTTTCTGTTCTCCAATTCTGTATTAAACAACAATGGCGTTCCTTCTGAGTTGTAAGACCTCTCACAATTAGACTATCTAGTACCCTCCCTTTTATTTATCAGCCTTCGGTATTAAATAACAAAGATACAGAGACTTGAGTAATGGTTATCTCAAAATAAGGCTATGAGGTGGTGAAAGGTAGTGAAAGTTTGAGGAAGGATGATGTATGTATAATGAAATCATGCAGTTTGATCGAAACAAGACAGTTGAGAATAAGGACTGACCTTCTGAATGCTGGCAGAGAAAATTTGATTATGTGAAGGGTGACTACAGAAAAGAAAATATGCTAACAAATAAGTTACAGAGGCACAGTACAACCAAAAATTAATGGCAACCTACGTGTTAGTATTACATACAATCACAAAGTAAAGGAATCTTATTCTGGCATTTCCTCTTAAAATTAAATGAGTATAGAGTGGCAAACGTCCAGCCCAAATGGGTCATTTATAGGCCATGTTTATACTGAAAAATTTCTCCTAAAGCATACAAATTCTTTATTGGGTTTGGAGTATGTTTGAATAGTGAGTTAAATATTTAGAAATTTTGGATATTATTATATACAATAAATACATTTGAATCCTATTTATACTAAGTCATATAAGCATGTTGTTATATATCCTGTCATATATATAGAATCATATAACTATGATTCAAACATAAATATGGAGAAATTTTATTTAGTATTTGATTGTATAATAATAGCATATCTTTCAAAAAGTACAAAACATAAAGACTTTACACACTACAAAAGGACTACCCCTAATGTTGCATGTGTAGGATGTCTATTTTTGTGAAAGGAGCCATAAACAGATCATAGAGTCCGACACAATATGGACAAGACTTGTATGACTATACATAACAGCCTTATCTCTAATCTAAATCTGTTATTTATCATATAGTCTCATTTAACCTTTAAAATGATAATACTTCCTCAAGTGAAAGAATCATTTCCCATGACTTTTTCTTTCCTGGCTTTCTGCTTACCTGGGGAAAGCTACACATTGAAGCCCATTTGACTAGTGACTTATAGTTTGTCAGGTTTTGTTCTCCCAGGTCTCCTGAGCTATTGGATTTTACTTGAAATGCAAATAAATAAAAATTTATCTTGTAAACCTAAAAGTAGAAATACAAGGGAAAATTAAAAAGGACAATAGGTGATATTGTGAAAAAAAAATGTGAATAGATTCAAACACTGAGGGGGAAAAAAAACTGTGACTGGTGATAGGAGAAAAAGACAAAAAGTGACATAAAAAAGTAGACACTGATGGCTGATGCCTGTAATCCTAGCCACTCAGGAGGCTGAGATCTGAGGGTTAAAGTTTGAAGCCAGGCCAGGCAGGAAAGTCTGTGAGACTCATCTCCAATGAACTGCCCTGAAAAGCCAGAAATGGAGCTGTGTCTCAAGTGGTTGAATGCTAGCCTTGAGCAAACAAATCAGAAACAGTACCCAGGCCCTAAATTCCAGTCCCAGGATGCCCCCCCCCCACCAAGAGAGGATTGTTGTGTTCTATTTTTGTTTCTGGAAACTTATGCCAATAATTTACCATTGACATCCTGTGAAGTATCATTCTGTTCCGTAAGTTATTAGTGTCAAATTTCAGCCCTTCCACAGTCTATAGTCCATCAATAAAATATCAGTGAATTTCCCAATTGATTTTGCATCATTCCATATGGCTCCCCTCAAATCAGCAATGTAATTTTCTTCTTCTTCCTTATCCCAACTTTCATTCCCCTATATTTAACAGTTTTTAGTAAGAGGTCCCTAAACTCAGTTTTCTTAGCTTTTAATGTGAAAAGAAACATCTGAATTTTTAGCTTTTAAAGTCTGAAAAGCAGTCCTGGAGTTTTAGAATCTTTAAGCTGTTTTGAAACTTCAGTTACATATTAATATATTACAAATTCTCATATGTATGACTCTACTTATCTAAAGATGTGTTTTACATAAGTAGATGCTCTTCTGAGCATCAGTCAACAAGACACTGTTTAGGATGCTGTTTTCTGGACTCTATTTTAAGTATTTCAAAGTTAGAATCAGCAGGCCTAGTGTGAGGAGAGAGAGAGAGAGAGAGAGAGAGAGAGAGAGAGAACTTATATACACAGAGTTTTTACATACATGCATTAGAAACTTGAGTGAATCAGATAGAAAATGTTACTCATTTTATTTTAGATAAAACATGTAGCTTAGAAAAAAAAATGAGCGCTCTGAATGTGGCTCATTGGTAGAGTGCTTGCCTAGCATGCATGAAGGTTTGATTCCTCTGTACCACATAAATAAAAAAGGCAAAAGTAGCTCAAGTGGTAGGGCATTAGCTTTGAGCCAAAGGAGCTCAAAGACAGCTCAAGCCACATGACAGGCAAGCAAAAAAACAAAAAACCCAAAACAATGAAATACGAGGTTCCTAAAATAATTTATTTTAGTTAAATTGCACAGTTAAGTTGCATGTATGGCAGTATTTTAAATATATTATTTATACAACAAAGTTGTTCTTGACAGAAAATAGGAAATTTTTCTTTACCACTGGGAGGGATGGGTACTACAGTAAAGCCTTCTCTTTAACAATTAGTTATAGTATATTTCTTTCTTATCTTTCATTTGTTCAGCTTTCTACTTGGTATATGGTGCTGGACATAAGTCATATGGATTAATTGGGGATAAACACATATACTACTTTTCTATTTCAATTACAATAAAATACTTTTAAATATCTTTGTTATCTTTAAATGGTTGTACAAAGGAGTTGGCATTCAACAAAGCAGTTTGGAAATACAATTTATCTTGATCAATTTTGGACAACCTTTTTTTTTTTCTGTCGGTCGTGGGGCTTGAACTCTGGACCTGGGCGCTGCCCCTCAGCTCTTCAGCTCAAGGTGAGCGCTCTACCACTTGAGCTACAGCGCCACTTCCAGTTTTCTGGTGGTTTATTGGAGATAGGAGTCTCTACCACTTGAGCTACAGCGCCACTTCCAGTTTTCTGGTGGTTTATTGGAGATAGGAGTCTCAGGGTCTATCCTGCCCAGGCTGGCTTTGAACCGTGATCCTCAGATCTCAGCCTCCTGAGTAGCTAGGATTACAGGTGTGAGCCACCAGCGCCCGGCTGGACAACCTTTTCAACATTCTCACCTATCCCTCCCAATCCACCCTGACCCTCATGTTTCTTGGTTTTATAGGATATTCATTGAATTTTGTTTCACCACACTCACCCCACTTCTCTGTATTCTTCTACCTCAGGAAATGGGTACTTGACACTTGACTCCAACCCACCTCTTGCAAAGACCCATTTCTTGATGTTTGTGGAACTTTGATTTAGCCTTTCTAAGGAAGTATGCAGTTCATATTCTCCCCATGAATGACTGTTTTTTCAATTAATAAATTTGTGTACACTGGTGTATCACCCAAAGTGTTTACTTACATATTTATAAACTAATTATAACTTTCACATAGGAGAGAAAACATGTAACTTTGTCTCTCTGAAACTGATTTATTTCACTTAACATGACTTTTTTTCTAGGTCCTTCCAGTTCTTTGCAAATACATTATCATTCTTTCTAATGGATGAGCACAATTCCACTTTCTTGCTCTATTCCCAAATCTCCTTATTCCATCTCACTAGTTATAAACACTACGCTTAACCTCCATAAAAATCTGACAAAACAGCACACACACTCACAAAATGATTACATTATCTTTCAGCTTCATACTCTTTATTTTATTGTTAGTACTTAAACTTTACTTTTGGAGCTTGAATTCAGGGCCTGGGCACTGCCCTTGAATCTTTTGCTCAAGGCTAGTGCTCTACCACTCAAGCCACAGCTGCACTTCTGGCTTTTTGGTATCTAATTGAGGCTAAGAATCTCATTGGCCTTTCCTGCCTGGACTGGCTTTAAACTGCAATCTCAGAGCTCAGCCTTTGAGTAGCAAGGATTACTGGTGTAAACCAACAGTGCCTGGAACTTTGCAAACTTATTTTATAGAAAGATACCTTTTAATATCAACAAATATTAGCATGATTCCCACCTGTTTAAAACCCACACCTTTCTGTGACTGTGCCAGAGGTTGAGTAAGTGATGGACTTTCAGGACTTGACCATCAGCTCTGTGTGCCTGGCATGTTATTTTTACTTCCCCATAGATACAAAAATAAATTCATCACCTATCTTATCTCATTTCTGTCACGAGTATAGATTTATAACTGATTCAGACCTGTCAGTATTTGAGAGCTATGGTATTGCAGAGGCTATCATTTAATCATCATATAGATACCTAATAAAAGTAAATGTCAATCTGAAAGGAGTCTGGACAATAAGGCAAAATAATAGCAAGAGTCATAGACCAATATGGTTGTCTTGTCTCTCTAGTTACTAATTGCAAAAAACAGAAGATACCTTATCAAAGGCCTAAGTTAAAAACAAAAGAGAAAAGGAAATTAGAAAAGAGAATCTTAGGGAAGGGTAAGGGGATTAAGGAGAAGGGATGAAAGGAGAAAATGGTCAGAGAGGGAAATATGGAGGGGGTATGGTTAAAATATGTTCTGTGCATGTATAAAAATGTCACAATGAAACCCATTACTCACTGTAATTAATATCTATGAAGAAACAGGCCTATGTAAGTTGAGCTCTCTTTATAAACATTGTTCTTTTTATTTTTTTTACTATTGAACTTAATGCTTCTGAGTAGTGTGATGAACTATAGTGCAAATAAAAGTGATATAAACCAACAAACCAATGTTAAGCTTATAGAGAGAAGAGTCTTGGTTCATCATTGTTTTTTTTGTTGATCAAAATCTGCAAGATTCTGAGTCCAGGAAGCGGGCACCCTAGGTAATTGTGTTAGCGGTTGCCTGAAACTACCTTTACAGAAATACTAAAATCTGACCTAAATAAAGCTTTCTTGAGTAAGAATTCATTCAATCCTCTTTGGTGAATCTACTCTTACTTCCATAGTTAGTGTTTTAAAACTAAATAATATGAGTGACCTAAGATTCTGATTAAAATTCCTGGTGTTAAAATGCAATTAAAAAATACTTATAACCATAAGAGTAAAAGGAATGATTTTATTTTTTATATCAGTCATAGTTAAATAAGATTTATTTTCTACATACAACATGTTTTAAAAAACTGTAAGGGTCTGGGAAGGTGGCTCAGTGATAGAGCGCTTGCCTTTCATGCCAGAGGCCCTGGGTTCGATTCCTCAGCACCACATAAGAAAAAAGCCGGACGTGGCGCTGTGGCTCAAGTGGTAGAGCACCAGTCTCGAGCTGAAGAGCTGAGGGACAGCGCCCAGGCCCAGAGTTCAGGCTCCACGACCGGACCCCTCCCCCCCCAAAAAAATTGTAAGGATAAATAATATTAATGATGACACATATGAATCTAAATACTATCTGAAGTTCAAGTCCTTTGCTTAAATAGTAAGTTATGGATTCATAGGAACATTTTTTAATTAAGTTCCTATCTGATATTTTTATTGAGTTTTATAGTTTGATGTGTGCATGTATATGTATATGTGTGTATGCTGCGAGTATTTCTACCTACTTATGTGTTTGTCTTTCTACTGAATAGCCACAGTCATTTAGGGGCTTTTCCATCATGAACAAGTTTAACCATGCCATATATAAAAGTTTCATGAATGTTGGAGAAATCATGAGATATGTATAAGAAGGAAGAAATAATTATATATTTCATGTGAAATTTTGTGCAGACAAGCCTATGTTCTAAGTTATAATACTCATTATTTATCAGTGATGTAAATGAAGGGAATTTCAGGTTAAAAGGGTCCTCATGATATAACCTTTTGGAGATATTTTAATATTTTAATCTCTTTGAACTTCAATTCTCTCCTTCATAAACTTGCAGGCTGCAAACCAAACACTCTCTTTACATTCTTTGCAGCTCAGATTCTTTGCCATTTGTAACCTACTGATCCTTTTGCATTATGCTTGCATTTTTCTGAGTACTATTGGAATGATTATCATTTTAGTCTTCAGGCCAGAATATCGTTCTCGTGGTTTATTTGTTTAAGTTTGGGGTCTATATAATTATAAAAAGAAAGTGTGACAGATAATGGTTACACATTTCAAGTTGTAAGTTCTATGTTATTAACACAAGCTGGCATTTCAGAAAGTGGATGAAATGCTATCAACTATATTCATTTCCGTCTGTGTTCACAGGAAGTCCAGCACAATTGCCAGCTTCATAGAATATCATTCTGTGCAGATGATAAAACTGACAAGAGGATATTCACTTTCATATGCAAAGATTCAGAATCAAATAAACATTTGTGCTATGTATTTGACAGCGAAAAGTGTGTAAGTATGCCAGATGTTTTAGGGTGGTTTGTTCTCTTTTACAAGCCAGGAATTGTCTTGTTTCCGGCATTAGTAAAGCATTTGGAAAAGAATGAGGTCTGCAAATACTTAAGTGCACTAATAGATTCATCCTGTCATGACAGTATACTTCAGGATTTCACCCTTAACTAAATTCTTCTGTTCACAAGCAAATGCCTGCATGCAAATTTCTTTCATTAGAACACCATGCGTACTCATTCTATGTATTTGTGTCTCTTTTAATCATTTAATTTGTTTGTAATTTTATTTCCACCCAATTTTTTAGTGCAATGCACATAATGCAGAGTAATGTTGAAGGAAACTGTGTTTTAGGTTTATATTTTTTCTTGAAAGGGATAAGCTTAATGGAAACCAGTATTGTAAGCCCTTGGAAATAAAAGCTGCATGGCTTCTTAAATGAGTCTCCAATTACATTGAAAATTATTTCATATAATGAAAGGTAATTAAATCATGTGTATGTGTGTGCATTTGTTTGTGTGTGTGTGTGTGAGAGAGAGAGAGAGAGAGAGAATGAGAGAGAGAGAGACAGACAGAAAGACAGACAGAGTATGAGTGAAAGTAATGTAACAGAACATTTAGGGAATTCCAGAAATAAGTCATGCAATAGCTTTTTAATCATCTGGATTTATAAAGAAAACCCATATCACTATACTGTGCTTACAAGCACAAGCTAATTTTATACATAACTTTTTCTGAGTTCTTGGTATAAAACAGAAAATGTGCATTCCATTCACATTGCAGCCATTGATGACTTCAGTAGAGAAAGAACATCTAAATTCAACAGCATTATTTGTTTAAAAAAGAAAGAGAACATTACTTACTCATTTATATACTATTTTTCTTGTTCTCAATACATAGCAGACTACTACTATCATGATGACCATAATGGAATTTAAACCTCTGGTTTCAGTATGTGAGCTCTTTGAAAAGAAATGCATTTTTATTTTATATATAATTTCTGTATCTGGTGGATAACAGATGCTAGTAATTTTTCAATAAGGCAAATTCTATGTTGAAAATGTACCAAAAATAATGGGCTGGGAAGGTGGTTCAGTGGTAGAGCGCTTGCCTTGCATGCCTGAGGCCCTGGGTTCGATTCCTCAGCACCACATAAGCAAAAAGAAAAAAGCTGGAAGTGGCTCTGTGGCTCAAGTGGTAAGAGCGCTAGCCTTGAGCTCAAGAGCTGAGGGACAGTGCCCAGGCCCAGAGTTAAGGTCCCACAATTGGACCCCGCCCCCCACCAAAAAAAGAAAATGCACCAAAAATAATGCAGGCTATTTCCTGTATAGTTTAAACTTAAGTCCTTTAAAGATGGTAAGCAAATGCGCTAAGCTACTTTGGTATCATATCGTCTTGGAATTACTGAACATTATGGGCAACTTCTCTGAAAAATGTGCTTATCATTTAAGACAGTGTTGTAGACCAACAGAAAAAGACATTTTTATGGAGTTCAAAATGTTTTTGAAATTTATTGAATGAAAGTATTAATTTTGAATATTTAATGTGCTTCTTAACTGTGGTAATTTACAGATGTTTTTATGGTGTGATTGAGAGGTTATATTTGTTGAATATCTTCTATGTGTAAGACATAATAACCTTTCACCATTTGCACTGAAGAGATTTGGCTTACCCATAGAAATAAAATTCCTTATGGCTCTCTATAAAGTGGTTCATAATCAGAACTGTTGATATATATCAACCTTTTATAGATTTGTACCCCTGATTTTTCTTTCTTTGACATCCACAAACTTGTTTCTTGATCATAATGGAACTCTTGTAACATTCCATTAAATTTTAAAGTATAAATCCTATTTATTCCAAATCATATTTTCTATAATTAATTCCCAGTCCTTTTATTTTTTTTGTTGTTGGATATAGTCTATCAAAGTTCTCTTTCCTTGAGGGTTGAATATGATTTATTTAAACCTAAACTAGTGATTCACAATTACTTCAGAACTTTTACAAACACTGTTCTTTCATCTTATATTAAATGTTAATTGCTACTGAGACTGAAGAACTCAGCATTTGCTAAATTCATCAAATAATTTACATTATCAGAGTCTTGAAAAGAAAGAAGAAATAAAGCTGCTTAACTTAAAAAAAAAATACCCAAAGAAATTGTAGTTAAAAATGTCCCAGACTTGGCAAATAACATAAATCTATAGATGCAAAATATTAAATGAGTTCCATACAGCACTGTTCCAGATACCTACATACTAACACATTATAGTCAATTTTCTGGAAACTAATGACAGAAAATCTGACACCAATAAAAACTGTTCCTTATCAATAGAATTAGGTCAAGTTACATGATAGTGTGATTATCTTAACAAACCATCAAGGTAAGAAGGAAGAAACACAATGTTTTGAATACTGTGGTATCAGAATCAAATTTCCAGGCCAATATATATTTCAGGAGTTAAAGAAATTAAAGAATGACAAACTTTTCCCTATTAAACCTTCCCTAAGTAGTGTGTGCTGGGGTGGGGCATGTCTCTAAACAGAATAATAGAAGACAAAGCCTTGAGAAAAGAAAGATGAAGGTAGAATGAAAAGGATTAGGAAGCATGTTAGTAAATATGGTTTTCTGATTTATGTACTATGGTAGAAGTGCTATATTCTGATTTGATTCTAAGTGTATATATATATACACATCAGAGAAATATGTGAACAACTATAATATCAATAGAAAATTGAAAGGCTGTGAGGAAAGAGAGTTTTTTGTACTTGCACCAGAAAACTTCCACCACCAGGCAGCCATGATAAATAATATAAATAAAACAAACACAGTGAGAATCCCAGAGCAATCACTAAAAAGCTGTATGAGATGCATTTAAAAGCAGTTATTTTTTTAATTACATAAATTTTTTAATAAATACCTTAAAACCTACAGAGATTGAGTGAAAACAAAACAGAATATGAAGAGAGATTAGAAAATTGTTAACTACAAACTTAAGTCCTAACATATAAAATCACATTAAATATAAATCCCATATAAGCTAATTAAATACATATTAAATTTGTATTAAGCATAACTCAAATCCATATTGTCTATACCGAATTGTAAATGGGAAGGTTTAGGTAGTATAAGCAGTTTGAAGATAGAAGGGGAAGGAATGTAACATGCAAGCATTATTCAAATATAGCAGAAATTAGCTTTCAGAGTAGCCTTTGATGCAAAGAAAGCTACTAGAAATGGAGAAAAAGATTGTATAACAATAGAAAGGACAAGAAGACCTAATGATCTTCAATATACGTGACCAACCAACAGGACTGCAAAATAAGAAATGAAAAAGGGTAGAACAGAAATGATTACACAAATAGTTATTTTTGGAAACTTCACCATGACTCATCCCAATATTTATAGAACAACCAGAAGAAAATCATCAAGGATATAACAGCTCAACAATCATCAACCAATTGGACCTAATAAAAGTTACCACTCCACCCAACAACCACACATTTTCAAGCATTCAAGGATCATCTGCCAAAATACACTCTCTTCTCAGCTAAAAGACAGACCTCAATTTAAAATAAAAATCTTGTAGTAATCATATAGAATATATTCTTTGAGCCAAGGAGAAATTAATCTAAAATTCAGACTAGAAGAAAAGTAAAATTTTTAAGAATAATCATAACAATTGTATAGTCTATATATCAAAAAGATGTTAATAGAGAATATTTTTTGATCAGTGGTGAGACTTGAACTCAGGGCCAAAGTGCTTTCTCTGAGCCTGTTTTTGCTCTAAGCTAGCAATCTACCACTTGATCCACAGCACCACTTCCATTTTTTGAGTGGTTAATTGGAGATAAGAATCTCATGGGGACTTTTCTGCCTGGGCTGGCTTTGAACTGTGATCCTCAGGTCTCAGCCTCCTGAGTAGCTAGGATTAGAAGCATGAGCCACTGGCACCTGGCTACAAAGAGATTTTTTTTTGTGTGTGTGAACATACTGAACAGAGGGGTTACAATTACATGGGCAGGATAATGCGTACATTTCTTACCAAGCATTGCAGCCTCCTCCTTTTGTTTACCCTTCACATCCCTTC